AGGGAACTAAATTTGAGACTGTTAATCTTTCTTAGACCATCGGAAGTTGATAAGTAAGAATTTTTCTCGTGATTGACACTGACTTTGAATGTACATTAAAGTTTGATTATCCATCCAAAAAGATATTTCATATAAGGAAGTTTTAGGAAGACTTTTTTTTCAAAATTGTGTTTACCTCGTTCCCTATGGGATCGACGACCGAACTCAAAATCGATACTACTGCTACACCTCGTATAATTGCTTGAGTTGCTAGTGCTTCGTAGGAGCGTTTCAATCTACCATGGGCGATATACAACGACTACTCTGCCAAGTGCTACGTCGGCTTGATTTCATTGTGGAAAGGACAGGGAATTTCGCAAAGGAGAGCAAGATGACCACCCGAATCCTTTCTGTACGGGGGATCCCAGTGGAGAAGAAGATAGTCACAACGCTTTGTGGTACAATATCAATACATATCTTGAGATGAAGTGCCTATTGGAAGACACAAAAATGAGGTGTCTGCTAAAGGATATAGAGCTAAGAGGTCTGTTAGAGGATACCGAGAAGAGGTGCTTGTTGGAGGATACAGAAGTGAGATGCTTGTTAGAGAATACTGATACGTTTTGGCACCAAAATCAGCGAACAAACTACGACGAAATCACAATATATAGGTGGAAAAAACACACTAAGGGGTACTCTTACGAACTCTTATAAAAATCAAAGGAAAACAAGCAAGATATAAAGTTGATGTATTTATTTGAGAGGTAGATCTTTTCTCCAACACTCTAGACGTTGCTAGGGACACCACAAAAAGAAAAGAAAAACCGCAACCAAACAAAAATGCATAAATAAAACAAAACCCAGATTACCTCCCTTAATAGAATTCTCACAGCAATTCTAAAACTCTCCTTTCAAATTCATTCAATTTCTCCTCCTTGAGTATTGAATGAAGGCTCTTGTGGACCCCACCTGCTCCATGCCTTCTTATGTCGCCCCAAAGTGTTGCTCCACCCCTCACGTGAATGATCGGCTCGCTTGCTTTTTTTGGGCGGGCCAGTTGGACGTGCCTTGACCGATCCAGGAGGGGCCTGTCTACAGACGGGCGTAACAGATACAAAGATGAATTGCGTGTTGAAAGATATAGTAATGACGTGCTTATTGGAGGATACATAGATCTGAGATTGAAAGTGGACCTGAATTTTGAGGGGAGAGTGTATCCGGATGACTTCCATGAGTGGGTGCAAACTTTTGAGTGAATCTTTGAATACAAGAAGGTGCTTGATAACAGAAGAGTGAAGCTCGCCGCAATAAAACTGAAGAAGAATGTTATGATGGGAGAATCTAAAGCAAGAGAGACAGAGAGAAGGATGGGATAAAATCGCTTCTTGGGATAAGATAAAACAGGAGATGCAACGCCAATACTTACCGGCTCACTACAGACCGGATGATCACCACACCTTTCATGCAAAGTTCAACACAAGGTACAAGTCGTAAGAGTGCATCAAGAGGAACATTCGAACACCCGCCTAAGTTGAAACTAAAGCTAAGTAGAGAATAGGTGAATTGAACAAGTATTTCTAAATCTATCCCAACCAGAAATTGTTTCAAGTGGTAGAAATTTGGGCATATTGAATCATATTGCGCGACAAGGAGAACAATCACTTTCACTGATGAGGTAGCAGTTCAAATAGATAATGACATAGTAGAGACTAAAGAGAGTGAAGACAGAGAAGAGAAGTACTAGATACTAGTTGACAAGGAAGAGACGCTATTAAATGCAGTTGAACACAGGAGAGAGACTCCAGCTGAGTTGTCAATAGCTATTTTAGAAAGTTGAGATTCTTAGTTAATGGATGCTCGTGCAAATTATGAGAATGTGGTACCTCGAACTATCATTTTTCAAGCTTTGAGAGGAGCATCAACATGACTGTCCGATATAAGAGGCATGAGAACCCCAGATAAGAAAGATTTAGACTTTTGAGATACATAGACTACTTCCTAAGTTTTCTCGGTTGAGGTAGGTCCAACATATCAGAGTTGAGACTCTTTTGTGCCACTTTTGGAAGATTATGAGTCATTAAGATTTTAAATTTAGTTCAGCAGTGTACTCACCAACTGATGACCAAACAAGAGAGATGAACCACAACTTTAGAAATTATCTTAGGAGGTTGGTGGTGAAGAAAATTCTTCTATGGGTTCCAAGTCTTACGAGAGAAGAATAAGATGTATATTCTAAGTGGTTTTACTTCAGTATTGTCCAACCTGTTATAGATTTCATTCTAGAATTGATTCATCACGATAGACTATATTCAACCTAATATGAGAAGTAGGAGAAGAAAATTACACGCTGAAGTGCTCGAGAGCTATTTTGCGGTAATCTACAGTTATATTTAGTTTCAGCCCAGGTTTTGCCAAGTGAGGATGGATACTTACTTTATCAAGATGTGTTGTTGGATGACAACACCTGCAAGAGTGATTTACTGAGAAGTTATAATAGCTCCACCACATTCAATGTGATCAACCTGACATTATACTACGTGGAGTTAGAAGCTTTGACAGATAAGGTCGAAGCTCCCCCAAACCCGTGAGACTCACGCTTGGCAAGATGGGGCGGAATGCAGAAGAAATCATGTGATCAAAGCTATGCGGGAAATACCACGACAAATCGATTCACGTTTGTTGTACCTAAATCAAATCGTCCAGGTTTTTTCAACACTGAGGAGTCGAACGATCCTCTTGGGCCACTCCTAATTATCCTATTACTTTAAATTTATTTTTTCATATTTTAAGTTGGAAGTTTTTCGTCTGTTTTGTTTAGGACAACAATCAACATCCGTTATTCTTTCCTTCAAAGGTTGTATCCTAGGGTTTCAGGTGGTGTTTCTATTGTATGGTCTCCAGGCGGTGTGTATCCTTTCCCAACTCCTCTGCATCCCTCGCACTTTGTTGCCCCGCACTCCTCGCTACAGGCCACCTCAAAAATAGTCTTTTGTTATTTTTCCTGCAGTTTACTCGTTGTCTAACTACTCTCTTTGCTGCCCCCACCCAGGACAGCCCCTCCTTGGCTTTCCAACAGTTCATCGCATTCCCCATCACTGTTCCAGCCCTCCATTTTCGCTGCCATCGTTGTTCCACCCCTTCCCATTTACTGCCAACGCTGTTCCTACTCCTTATACTCGCTGCCATCATTGTTCCAGCCTCTATCTTCACTGTCGTCGTTGTTCCAACTCTTCCCCTTTGCTGCCATCTTCCTGGACAGCCGTGGCAGGTCGATAGCTGTTGCATACTTGCTGCTCGGAACCTGGGAAACCATTACTTCGTTGTTTTTTGCTTGTCGACTACCTTGTTCATCATCCCAACACATTCCAAACCTTCTCTGATCACCACTGCCCCGAGTTTTACCCTAGTCCTATATGGTGATTTGCGGTGTTATTATTTATTGTTTCAGCCTGTCGTGTGTCATATTTATTATTATTTTTTCTTTCAAGTGTGTTGGTTGTAATGACCTATTTATTTTCAGTAATAATATTTACTTTTTCTAGTTTGATTTGGGTTAATTCTGATATCATCATACCACCTTCAAAATGACAATCTGATTGTGGTTCCAACCATTCTTTGGGCATCTTGATTGTTGCTTTGTCGGCGATAAACTGAACCCTGACTCTTATCTCAGGTGGAATTTACCTTCAAAAGCATGTTCAACTGATCCACCGGTAAATCACTATTCACGATTGTATACATTAAAATACCTAATACATTTATTGACCTCATTGATCGAAGACTCTAACACAACAACCAAATAGCTCACTCATGCAACGAACACATTAGGATTTCAAGCAGAGTTTGGAAGAATAATACAATCATAAGCTGCAGCTGATTGTTTTGTATGCAAAAAAACTTTCGCCAATGGTGAGTTCGTCATGGTCTATTTAAGCAAAAGACTGATGTCCTACTGGTACCTACATCAAACTAAAGGCCAAAAAGATTGGCCCTTTTGTGATAAGAAAAAATCTGTAACAAAGCTTACGTAATAGATTTCTCAAATCACCTCGAGATCCTAAAGAAATCATTTTAATATATCTTTGAGTGCCCACTCACTGTGAATTCTATTGTCGAAGCAGTGTTGCAGAAGTAAACGGCTAGTCGAGTTCTTGCATAAGGACACATATGGAGGGACATGCAGAGGTGGGATGAATAACCAGATTTATAAGACTGCAATTTGATTGTCAGTAGCATTAATATTCTGTCGTCAAATGCAAGTCCAACAAGATTGGTTCTTTTGAAATAAAGAAAAAAAAAAACTGTGATAAAGCGTATGCGTGGATATTTGAAGCCACCTTAAGTTTGCAAAGACGTTCAACATTAAGGATATCTTTTGAGTACCCATTATATGTGATTGCAGCTAGATACAAATGCTTGTCGGATGGCCACATTTTTCAATTTTCCTTTTTATGATTTCAATTATTCTTTTTGTGATTGCAATGATTTTAATTTGTTTTGCCCTTTTATTCCCTATGAAAGCTACGGCTTGTCTTGTAGCTGATCTGTGATTTATCTCTGTTGCATAGACATTGGGGAGGGAAAGAAAAAAGATGGGCTGGACTGTGTTAATACTATTTTGCTAATTTTCTCTGTTTGTTCTTCCTTCTGGGAGATATTTTAAATTGAGACCTCTCTGCCTTCAACTTTCTCTTTTGATAAAGTGCTGCCAGACATCAATATTTTTGGTTTTTCTTTTTTTTTGAATGCATTGAGTTTCAGTGAATATCATTTTGATTTTCACAAAAACTCAATTGTACTGTCTTGGCACACAAATCTTACTCTTCAAACAAATTTTGCTTTGTCACCTATAAATATAATGGAACCCACGGTCCATTGGGTAAACAAATTTTGCTTTGTCACCTATAAATATAATGGCACCCACGGTCCATTGGGTCCATCACTGTAACTTTTTGCATGTTTTGAAATGAATTTATGCCAACTTTCTTTGTAATGCTAAAATTGATTGGTACTTTATTCAGTGACCGGGCGTGTTACAACGAAGGCTGATGTCTTCAGTTTTGGCGTGATACTGATGGAGCTGATCAGCGGCCGGAAGGCACTTGATGAGACTCAGCCAGAGGAAAGCGTGCACCTAGTCACATGGTTCCGCCGCATGCAGCTCAACAAGGAGAGCTTCCGCAAGGCCATCGACCCTATAATAGATCTCGAAGATGAAACCATCGCAAGCATCAACACCGTTGCTGAGCTTGCCGGCCACTGCTGCGCTCGCGAGCCCCACCAAAGGCCTGACATGGGGCATGCTGTCAACGTTCTGTCCACACTCACCGAGCTGTGGAAACCTTCTGATCCCGACTCCGACGATAGCTACGGCATCGACTTGGACATGACGCTGCCCCAGGCGCTGAAGAAGTGGCAGGCGTTTGAGGATGGAGATGGATCAACGTCGTTCCTCGCCAGCCTAGATAACACCCAGAACAGCATACCCACAAGACCGGCTGGATTTGCGGAGTCCTTTACATCGGCTGATGGAAGGTAGAATTCCGGTAAGTGTGAGTAGGTTGGTATTGTTCATTCTAGTTTTCTTTTGAAATATTTGTTGATCTTTTGGTTGGTTTTCTTGCTAAGTTATCTGCTCTTCTCAGTGTGTTATGATAATTAGCTGTGCTTCTTAATGGAACCATGAAAACGAATTAATGTTTTTCTGTCTTTGTAATGTGTGTTTTTAGTGTGTGATAGTTGCAGAAGCATCACTGTTTTTTGGTGCGGAGAAGAGGTGCGTTACAGCTTGACTGTAGTGCTGATATCCTGCTTGCGGTGATGTTCTCTGCATAGGATTATTTACTATACTTCCTCGTATATTTCCTTTAGGCCACGTGTGTCCTAAATTTTTAGGGCATTTACATACACATAATTCTTATGTATTTACATATCTAACACCTCAACATTCATGTGTACATACATACCACTCAATTTTTTAGCATCACATCAAAAATACCCACCATTACTGCTTTTTTAAAAGCGAAATACACATTTTCATGTATAGATTTATGAAACCGAAGTATTATAAGTGAAAATTTTAAACTTTGGGTGTTAGATATGTAAATACATCAGAATTACGTAGCGCACAATCTTTTGTATTTACAGATATCACCTAAATTTTCATATTTACATAAATATAACACTGTGGTGCTTTAGCCTGTTCATTTTAAAAGTGTATTTCACTTCTAAAATGTGGTAATAGTGAGAATATTAATGATATGGGTGCTATTTGTGAAAATATGAAAGTTTAGTTGCGAGATATGTAAATACATAAGTTTTAGGTGCTGTGCATGCTAATGCCCAATTATTTTTATTGTGCTTTGGATTATTAGAATGTAAATATGCATACATTGACATTAACCTTAATTGAGAGATGCTGTTTTGTTTTATGTTGGATGCAAAATAAATGAAGTAGATGCGAGTAAATAAGGCCAATGTGATTTAATTTAGTTACAGAAACTTTTCAAGGAAATGGTTTGTTGGGATGGAACTATAAACCTTGAGCTTCGATCGAGTAGCAATCAAAACCACAATGAGGAATGGAATCACAATTCGAGAAATTTAGAACAAAATAATTTCAAAAAGAACATGTTTTGTGTGAAAAAAAAAAATCTTAGAATGAGAAAAAATTTATAGGACCGCAATAATAAAAATTTCACTGTGAAGAATAATAATTATATAAAGATACACCAAATTTCTACAAGCATCGAACGTACAAATCTTCACTTCAAATCTCTCTCTCGATCTAACAAGAGAATGCTTGTTCTGGAAGCATTCTTTAGACAATTCATCTTCACTAGAGAATCAATCGAAGAACACCGCACACATGTACTTTAATCACTCAAATCAAAGACTTAATTAGAAGAGAGAACTGCCCCAGCATATTTGCACCAGTTTTGGGCAAGATAGCTCTGCTTTCTCTGGAATCGGGCACAAAACGTCCCAAAGATCGTGCATGGGTGTCGTAAACCTAAGTGTGGGCATGCTCGTTTGGGTTTTGGCGCGCAGGCGCCGTCGTGGGCGTCTTGTTCACACAGGCGCGTTGTGCTAGAAACAACTCTTGGTGTTGGGTGTGCCTTGCTGCTGCTGCCAATCAGGCTTCATACACAATAAGTTGATGCAAAATAAGTGAAGTAGATGAGAGTAAATGAGGCCAGTGTGATTTGTTCTAATTACATAAACATTGAAGGAAATGATTTGATGTAAATCAAATGCAGCTACTTTATATCAAATTAAACGGCTGAAATCTACCATCTTTCTACATCTATTTTAAACTGCACCAATCTTCTAATGCAATGCTTAGTTAGCCCATGATTTGGACTAAATTGTCGAGCTCAATAATTGTCATCATCCAACCATTCATCTTTATTTCTTTCTGTTAGAAAGCGGTTTAGATCATATATGCCTTAGAATGATTTTTATACAATTTTAGAATATATTTTCATGAAAGTTTCATTAATTTTACATATAAATTGAGAGAGATATAAGAATCAGTTTAGTCTTAAGATTGGAGGCAATGTATCATTTCGGGTGTAGGTGAAATATTTTAAATATTTTGCCATGTTGGGGCAAAAAGCAACAAGCAAGATGCAGAAAATACATGTATAACTCTTATCTTATAAGGGTTGCTGCAAAAAATAATCATATTATATGGACATGTAATGAAAAAAAAAATCAATTTAAGGTGAATAAATTAGATAAAGAAGTATGATATGTCCATTGCATTTCAAAAAAATGCTCATGGAATTCATGAGTTAAATTCACTAACTCAAATTTTCGAGCTATAAATTAGAACACAATTGTACTTTGGATGAATGAGGATGTGATCCTAATTTGGATGTTAAGAGCTCAAATCATTGTATGTATGTGGTAATATGTTGATTGGAACAAGGAGCTCAAAGGAAATAGTGGTGTGTGTTTAAAAGTCAAGTTCGAGCGGGACAAAAGTATGGTTTACAATTATATTAAAATTTATTTAAATCATAACTAAACTTAGTTCAAATATGATTAAAGGTTTTGAACATGTTCAAACATAAGTTTAAACCATAATCATACTTGGTTTAAACAAAATTTGAACATAATGCAAACCATGCTTGAGCTTGTGCTATGACAATGAGATTATATGTTGACAAATTACTTTCTGAAGATAAAAAAGTATCAATATTCTTATACTTTATGAAAGGCAATGAAAAGAATACATGCATGTAAGTTGGATATTTATTGAGAAATAGAGAAAAAGACTTTTGACACAAAAATATTTTAATGAAAGTCCTATTAATCTCATATATAAAATGATAGGATTTACAATAATCAGTTTACTCTCAAATTGAAGGTAAAGTACCACGTTAGTGGAGCACAATCTATAATTTTAATTACTACTATTACTACTACACACACACTACTTTCAGATTGTTAAAAACACATACATACTACTTTCAAATTGTTTTTAACAACCGTTTTTAACAGTCAACTTTATGCAAATGAGAATAATACATGATTAGATGATTCACCATCTTTCATTGATGTAGATGGTGATATCAATATACCACATGCAAAAGTAGGTTTTGTTGTGGACATATAGGCTAGCTCTATGAATGCTTTCGTATTAGAGCATCTATTTTAGATTACAACTCCAATTAGTAACCTACTTGAAAATAGTAAATATGTGAAATCTTCGAATTTTTCTTGTATTTTGAGGCTTAAAGAAATTATTTAGGATAAAGAGGATACTTGTATAACTCTTATCCTTTGAGGGTCAGTGCAAGAAAATGCTTTACTTTAATGATTTGATATAATGATCTATGTCTAACTTTGCCCTTAATTCATTTGAATTTTAGGCAGTGCTAAGAGAAAAGATGAATTAAAGAGCATATTATATCAAAATGTAATAAAAAAACAATTTAACATGAATAAACTAAATAAGGAAATATGTTATATTCATTGCACTTCAAAGAAATGCTCGTGAAATTTATAAGTTAAGAGGTTTGTAAGCAAATATATATTTCAAAACTATGAATTAAACACACTTGTTCTTTGGATGTCTAATCAAAATACCACCAACAAGCTTAACCTCATTAGATATAATGAGAAGCTCGTAAGTTCAAATTTTAGTTCAAAAGCCAAAATTGAACTTATCAAATATGAACAGAGACAACGAAATTGTCTCTTGAATTGTTCTTTTAGAAAATTCTACCGTATCTGGAAAATTATTGTTCTTCAACTCAGCGAAAAATAGTTTAAGTAAACCATTACATTGAACAAAGTTATTTTGAGAAACTCTTGAACAAGAATCAAAATTTGATGTTTTATTCGCTTAGAGAACTTAAGATACACATCCTTCACTGTGATCTTAATGCTGATGTTGATCTCCCATGAGAGAGCATAAGTTGGCCACAGCAAGAGACCATGGTGTAAAATTATGAAAGTTTATTTTTAGAAGTTTACATGCAAGAAATATAATTAGCTGCAAGTATAAAATTGCACATCTAATAAAAAGTGATTTTGAAGGTTTCAGATAAAATAAACAGAAATGTCATGTTGCCGTCATTGGCGAAGTACCATCCGAAAGAGTAGTAAAAAGCCTTCAAATGGGAAGATGTTATGCAATGGGACCATAGGTGAGGAGAAGTGAGAGGCTACAACTAAGTTTTATTTATATGGCTAAATGCTCATTCAAGTTATTAAAACTAGCTATTATCATAATGGTCATAATAGGTCTACTACATGATAGAATATTCCATCCGGACTCCAAATGAGTCCGGAATAGTGAAAAATTGCCACGTGACAAGTGGACCTCACTGTAATACCAGTTAATGGTGATTTTTAAAAGATGTAAGGCCCACTTAACACATAGATGGACTCCAAAAGCAAATTGATGTCCGAAGCCCGGATGCAAAAAATTTTCCTACTACATTATTATTGTTACGAGTAATAGTATTTTTTTTTTATAAAAACAATTATAATATTGTAGCTAAGAAATTTATTGTGAAAATTATATATATATATTCAAAAGAATTAGACAATTTTCAGTCGCCATACTTTAACAATTCAAATTAAAAAAACAACTTTTCATCATTAAATTTCTAAAAATCATTTTCAAACAAAATTGTAGCGATGATTTTAAACACAAACAAACAAAAAACTATCTCAAACATATCCTAAATTATACCATGTTATTTCTACCTTATATTATAGTTATATAAATGTTGTGGTTGCACAAGATTATGCATATTAATTTTGATCCAATTCAAATTTGCTCAATTTAAACCTAGCCCAATTTTTTAATCTTAATCCAAATTCAATCCAAGCATTAAAAAAAATAGCTAGATTTCTTATCAATCTTCAATCTCCAATCAAAGATGTCAAATTTAATCAAGTTAAAATATTATCAACCTTCAAAATTGCATGCAGCCACTTGATCTAATAGTTGAGTGCATCATTTCCAAACCATAAGATCTTATATTCAACTATAGCATATTCAGATGTGTGTGACAAAAAAATTAACACAATAATAATAATAATTGCAATATAGATTCATCAAAAGGCAAAACAAAACTCATACATAAGAAATGATACATATTAAGATCCTACACTATTCTTTAACACCACCTTTGAACAATTGGGCAGCTCATAAAAGCAACAATGAGTTCATAAAATCAGCTTACAGCAAAATTATGTGATAGATTACCCAGCATCTACAAAATTATTGAGATATACAGAAATAATAATACAGTCTACCAAAGTGAAAATCTAGTCTAGTCAGTGCCATGCAATAAAAAAGATTAAATCTAGTTGAAGTGATATTTACATGTTGGGGAGAGAGAATAATGTAGACAATCCTCCGAAATAGTTCATTATCGCTTTCTCTGCTTCTTGAGATGCTGCCGACTGTCATCAGAACTTGATTCAGACTCCGAATCTGAATCAGAACTGAGGGAAGAACCATCCTTGCTAGAGTCGCCGGAGCTATCAGATTCATCACCAGAAGAATCTGAAACAGGCTTTTGTTGCTGCATTATAAGTCTTGGCATATTCTTCAAATACTCTCGTAAGCTCTCTGTGATGCCACCAAGACCAATGGAAGTGAAGAAGTTGATAGAAAATCTGGTGTTCTTAGGATTATCCTTGGGGAAAATAGATTCAAATGAATCCTGCATACTCGGGTCATTAAGCCGTTCATTTAGCAGGCGTATGCCAAGAAAGATGCTATGAAAGTTTCTAAAAATTAAAAAAAAAAAAAAAACGAGAAGTGGTCAAACTCAACGGGATTGTGTAATGGGTAAAAGAAAAAAAAAACCCATTAATATACATACCATTCAATTCCTATGTATCTACCATCTAACATCTACCTTCCAAATCTTTCGTAACACAAAAATACGGGATTGTGTAATGGGTAAAAGAAAAAAAAAACCATTTATATACATACCACTCAATTCCAATGTATCTACCATCTAACATCTACCATCCAAATCTTTCGTAACACATAAAAAATACCACTATGTTAAGTTTTAAGAAAATGAAATACATTTTTTTCATGCATATATAAGGCAGATTGTATGTAAAAATTGAAGTTTAGGTGTTAGATATGTTAATCTTTGGAAAAAAAAAATGAGAAACTTTCAGGAAAATACCTGGAAAAGAATTTTTATGAAAATTCGAGAGGATGAAGTTGTATCTTCCTCGGTTAAGCGGATGTATGCCAGAACATGCCAAGGCAGTGCATCGGTCCCCAGCAAATGGGCAAAAAATTTTGCGACGTTTCTAAGTTTATTTGTTTCAAGACGATGTATCATGGAATATTGCTGCACAAAGCATTTTTCAAAATTCTCTTGGTGAACTTTGTTGATCAAGCAAAATCTTTGCCCCAAAAGACCATAATAACGCAGATATGTTCTCTCCTGGCTGCAGCATTCCAACAGCATTATGCACAGTTCCATCTGTAAGTATTAAATTAAAATTTATGTGATTGGGACTTATCACAATTAAACAAAGCACTGCTTCAAAAAATATTCATATATCAGAGCAAAAGGCAACAAGTTCATGAAATAAGAACCAAAAACCTATCACAATGCATGCAAGAGTTCGGAAGCAGAAATACATGGCATGAAATCAGCATGCGTTTGTTTAGTATATTTTAATTTCTTCACATGAAGAGGAATCAATAAATTATATGAGAATCACTAAATTGCAGAGTTCCAAATAATTAAAGAAACTGCGACAATACTAGCAATAATAAAACAAACATTAATCAAAGAAGAATAAACATAGAATTCCAATGTGAGGTGCAATATGGTGGGAATGATAGAACTATAGGCTTAGCTTAATAATAATAATTAAAGGATAAATTTCTAACTTTTTTTTAATCCTCGACTAACAATCCGAGAATAAGGAAATAAGATAAAAATCCAAAGAACATCATTGCAAACCACTCCAACCTCCAAACAAAAGCGTTCAAAGGAAAAAATGCCCTAGCAAACCAACTGAAACTAATGGCATACATAAGTCAAAGATTTTTAACAATTTCAGACATCATTTTAAAAGGATGAAACCCAATCTCAAGGCAATATGTAGTCAAAAAACTCTCTCTGTATGGTGTGTGACTCTGAACCATCACCGCCACTGCTAACACAACGTGCATCACAATATTTACCATACTTAATTGGAGAAGAGACATACGGGCCATGATACAACAGAATCACCTGTCTATGTGTGAGTGCATGCAACACAAAGAAATACACCAACAAATTCTTGATCCATTTGGTTACTGTATTGTACCTCACATCAGAGATGATTGATTTATTCCCTCCTGCCAATCTTATACTATTCATAATGTTTAGTGAACTTAAAATCAATTGTGAGCAAGCCCGTCAAACCATTTCAAATCAAACACACATGGTTAAAAATGAAATCAATTTTGATTCTAACAAAACTCACTCGAATTCAACTTGTTTTCAACCTTAGCTTCCAATTTTTAAACTCTCTGCTGTCGCCTTTGAGCGTACTTCCCTTAAGCTCCATGGTGCATTGGCTTATGAAATGTCATAGTCGCCACTTCTAGGCCTAAAATAGTAGTTAACTTTAGGCCAACCACAACAGCCAACCTTGGCCTATCATTGCCAAAACCTTTAGATCATTAATTACCTCTACCTCTATATATATATATATATATATATATATAGTACACTTTCTGATTCTATCTTCCTTATTATTATATCAGGCTCAACTTCACTATTAATGACATCATTACCAATCAATACATAACCCATAGAACATCCCTGCACAAGTTGGTCTCCCATGTACAAGGAGTTGCCTTCCTTCAAAATTAGTTAGTCATGCTTAAAACCCGCTCAGATTTATATAAACGATTATAATAAACTTCTTGTTCATTAAGATTATTACTTGGAAGAGAATGCGTAAGTTCCAACATTTCAACTACCCTAACCTGATGTCTTCCCACAATTCAGCTTGTTTATGTAACAATTCAATTAACTATACTCAAATAATTTTTTTTACATAACCACTTTATTGATCTGCTAAATGACCCTGTCAAATAAAACTAAAGTACAACCATTAGCCCCGCTATGAGATACAATGTAAGAAAATGTCTTATGATCAAGCATTTCTACAGCATATCTAGCATTTAATGAAGAAAACAATGAAACGAAAAAGCAAAGTCGGCAAGAGAAAAGCTACTAATCCAAAAAACAATAAGCAGTGCCTACAAACTCTACAATCCCAAGAGCATTTCCAATCAACAATAGATGTTAAAAGAAAAAAAGGAAGAAGGAAACAAAACTGCAAGATTATAGCCATTTATCTAAAACATTCAAACTCTGTGCTTCCCAATTGAAACTGAACTGCATTGACTGCCCAGGTGACTTGCACCTTACAACACTGCAATAAATCTTTCAATTTTATTTTCCATCATCACTCTTCTCCATAACTTCATTGAATGACCTATAAGCATGATGGCCCCAAAATTAAAGCAATCCTGACCACCTTTTTTGCTCTCAAATAATATAACCAAAATAACTCTTCTCCATTAATTTAGCATCTATTTAAGCTTAAAAAATTCTTAGAAAATATTGGCTAACCTAACCATTAGAATATCCCTCATGTTCAAATCACAAACGGTGTCTCATATAGATTAAAAGTCTTCCCTTAACAAAACTTCTACATAACTAACAGCATCTCATTTTTTTTAAGTTCAATCATATAATATATCTATATTTTGTTCATAATAATCTTTCAAAAATAATGTGTTTCTTAAAAACAAACATTTAATCTTTTTTTCAAAATAGCACTTTTCATATTTCTTAATGTCTTTCTCTTTAACTAAGTATATATTATCTTCACTTTGCATATATCTAATTTGATCCAAGTTTCTAGATCTTTCATTTATTTCCATTGATATTTCATATATCTCCTTTTTTTCCTTCCTTAGCATCAATCATATTATATAAATCATCAAGAGTTTTTTTTTTCCTGACTATCCAGTTCAACAAGGCAACCCCACTTAGTGGGATAAAGGCTTGTTGCTGTTGTATCCCATCTCAACAAGACACTTAGATTTCTTATTATTAAAATAAACCTTAATGGAATTTAAGTTTTGTCTATCTTTAAAATCATATTCATCCTTAATAAACTTTTATATCTCCTTCCACTAGCAAGTCTCAAATATCTATCAAATATTTCTAGAATCACTTAAAACTTCAATAGTGGTCTTAATGAAACCATCAATCTAATGTAATTTTAAGCTTGGCTGAACTAAATAATTCCAATTTTCCATTCTTAAAAAATTAATGCAGTCAAGTACATTATCATATGCTTTTCGGTATGCAATGCATCAAATTAGGTCAAGACTACGGCACATTCTTTACTACAAAATCATTAGTTTTGAAAAGAAGTGTTAATTAAGCTATAGCTAGCTCTGAATAACATTGCTGACATACTAACATTATAACCAAATACAAAGTAAAAAGTCATCTTACCTCTTGTCCAGGCTCAAGTTTTATTTTCAATAATTTATGGCCAGCCTCCTCAAAGTCAACACTTGACATTATTGTGAGGTAAATAGTTCTCCGCAAATTGACCAAGTTTGTTTCAGTCTCATCCGTAATCTTTAACTGTTCATCATCCTCTTCTTCGGATTCTTCACCATCCTCTACATCCAAGCCCTCTTCAGAACCTGATTCGTCATCAGAAGAAGCATCCCCAATAATACTTTTCTTGAGACTCTCATAAGCCTTCTCATCCTCAAGGAATTGTACATTTGACTTGAAAACATCTGGAAACGAAAAAAAAAAAAAAATTATTAGATTCACAGATGTTACAAGATTCATGATGAATAACCTGTAGATGTATGAGAAAAAAAATACCAAGGTTAGTCTCTGGATCTATCTCATCCTCAAACGACATCTCGTGTGTAAATTGATCCTCTTGCTCCACAAGGTCTAGTTCGGCACGGATAGCAGGGAAACCCTGTAGATATTACAAAAAAAAATTCAGATTTATTACTCAACATACATAGATATATAAAGCATTCATTTTACAATTCAATGACCATAAAGAGAGATTGGAAACCTGAAACTTTGCCTTCCGTATGGCAAAAAGGCCTTCAATCAAAAACTGTACACGTTTGTCTATTTCTCCTTCATGCAGTATGCCTCGGAATCTCTCAAAAACACCTTCAAACATAAAGGAACAGGGTGACTCAAATGGATATTTAGTGAAACTAGAATGGAGGGAATGTGAGATTACTATATTCGAGAGATGGTGTAGCACAAAGTAGATGAAGTAAGGGTGACATGAAAAGAAGTTGCACAATATTAACTTAAAAATATATAGTAGTTCATAAGAGCCCAACAGCATTTATTGAATGAAATAATTAATAATAGAATTAAATACCTTATAAAAGTACGGTGAAGCGCATATGATGTACAACTAAGGAAAATGCTCAAAAATAAGGCATAAAGATCAAGAAAGATAATGGGCATACACAATGTGATATAATTATATATTAATAAAAACATTGGAATGGAATTGAATTAATACCTTATGTCAAGCTTCCAAAAATCAGACATTTAACTAAATGAAACAAAGATTCAAGGTTCAACTGAAATTTAAACAAGGGTTGAACCAAGATGGCATTTGAATATTAAAATTATTTAATCACTACTTAAATTAAGTAATAATAATTCGAGTATGTGATAAAAAATAAAAAGAACTACTTCATGAAATATAGAACATGCATATGAAATACCATATATAATTTTAAATTTAAACAACTTCCAGATTTCAATTATTAATCTCTTCTTTTATGGTTCTATTTTAACTCTACTATCCCCTTCCATAAAAAATTGATGCTTTAAAAATAAATTTAGAAAAAATATAAAGTTAATGTCCTATAAAATCTACAAGAAAAAACAAGTTGAAAAAAAAAATTGTGCTTGATACCCTACTGCATAATTCTATTGCAAATAATATCAGATATTCATTTAGACATTATTCTTGCTGAACAAGCTTAGTTTTTATATTATGCATATTAAGTTTAAATTAGAACCATATGAAAAAAAAAGAATGGCGATATCAAACACAAAATTTTATCATAAAATGAGCCAAGATGTTCAAACAAACAACAAACAACAAACAGCGCACTGATACAGTGATCCAGCCTCCAATTCACATGAGTTTCATATCTTTATGTAAAATAAAGTTTTTGTGTCGAACAGAACTGATCGGGGAACCAGTTCGAAGTTTGATAGGCTAATTTGAATCAGTTTTTTAGCCCTTGTTCAATGTAGCAATCCACATAACTTGATGGGAAAAAAAATTTATAAACTAATCCAAAACATTTTGGAGAGCTCCAAAATGGCCATAGTAATGTCATGGTGATGTTAATCATTCTTGTATCATAGAAAGGAACATTAGGAATTACTTCCTCTCTACCTCTCTGCCGCGCATGTAAGACATCCAGACAATTACCTATCTACAGGCCTATGGATTCAATCATTCCCAAAGCATATGTTTTAAGTAAAATGATAAAATGTAAAAAAATACTTAAAAAAAAAACTGCATGGATATAATGTACAAAAGAACAAGCTGCAACATAAGTGCAGACATAAGGGAAAAAATAAAACAGAAGGAAAAATTCAACAATGTAAGAAATATTAAAAGAACAAATTTGTCAATTGATATCAGAAATAAAATCATCCGGCAATAAACATGAAGCAAACCAAAAGATTAATTAATGATAGCAATTTTCTTAGCCTCAAAATAATAAATGAAACAGAATTTACCACTTCATTTGGTAAAATTCCATCTGACAACCAAGTTCTATAATTACTTTTTGAAACTAAACTTATCAAACAGACCATAACATATTAAGCAAATGAAAATACTCATACTAAAAAAAATAATATAGAACGGACATAATTGAGTCAACAAACATCATGCAATTATTTGGCCTTGTTTGTCATATAGAACTATTTCTCTCAGTTCCTCTACTGATTATATCTGTGCTGATATTGCACTGAATCATTTTCCCCTCCAAAATCAATAAAATTATCACTTAAATAGTTAACTGCATAGTTGTATCTGTATTGAAAATTTCCTCGCACCAAATCTTTCATATTTACATACATGGCACGTTGATGCTTTGAACCTATGCATAATTCACTTTTAAAGAAAGTGCATATTTTCATGTGATATTAAAGATTTGATTGCTATGTATGCAAATATGAAGGCGAAAGATATGTAAATACATAAGAATAGTGTGCTAGGCATGTAAATGCCCCAATAACAATTGACCAAGTAAGATGCTGGGGTAAGAGATTAGCAACATCAACAAAACAGGGCCAAATTAAGTAACAATCCATTCAATTTAATGCATGAACAATCTACTTTACCAATACTATTATAACAGATCAACCATAAATCACTCACCATGAAGACCTAGCGGAACAATATCCTGAAGCAATGCTCCACATTCTTTGACAAACCCAACTGCAACCTATACAAAAAATTAACTGCATTAGCATTTAGCGAACTGCAAAACAAAAGAAAGAGATAAGAAAAGTACAGAGAAATAACACCTCAACACTGTCATCCGTGGGATTTACCAACAGCACTGTAAGAAGCTCCAAAGCAATGACTTCATGTGCGACTTGCTGATTTACAAGATGTGCTATAAATTTAGTTGCAGCAAGCAATTGAGGCTGTCAAGAAGAGCAATTCAAAACATTTCATTTCTCATCAGCATTAATATAATGGAAATTTTCAAGGAAGATTTACATACAAACAACTCAATTCCTTTGTATTTACATATCCAATACCTAAAACTTGAAATTTTACATGCATATCACCTTAACTATGAATGAAAAGGTGTATCACCTTTTAAAAGTTAAAATGGTGTTATTTTTTATGACAAATGAAAGATTTGAATGGTATAAGTGTAAAAAGTAAAGTTTATGTGCTAGAATGTAAATACATAGGAATTGAATGTATGTGTGCAAATGCCCTAAAGTTCAACTGCCAGGCACAAACCTTATCATTCCTCGCAAAAGCCCTCTTGAACTGCAAGAGGACCCTCTTCAGAAGGAGCTTGCCCACTTCAGGAAACTTGGTGTTCACAACCGCAACCAAAGCGGCAAAAACATCAGTGAAACCAGGGGATGCCATCTGAGATTTCATGCAAGACCGGCAGAAAAGACCTCTTCCCCTGATGAGGTTCTCAGAAAAGAGTTCAGGAATAATGTTTTTTATGTTTGTAGCATTCACCTTGTTAACAAGACCATTAATACTCTTCCTCAGGGCATCCCAGCTAAGACGCTGGTAGGCTTCGCTGCTCTTATCTTGCACATCCCGCATCATCTGAGCCATCCGATGAGGGGGGATGTATATTCCACCAGTTTTTATTGCGACGGCGTCCTCCATCTGTTGCACTGGCGGCTGAGGTTTCCTCTCCTTTTCCTCTTTCGTTTTCCCAACTCTATCTAGCCAAGGGGATTTTCCGATCTATGGTCATTGTAGCGACTCCTTTCATCCTTGGATCTCTCCTCAAGCCGACCTATCGAATCAGAATCCCCGTCTGGGCTCCTGTGCTTGTAATCCTGGTGTGTGCGGGACCTTTCAGATCTCCTGCTACTGTCCTTTTCACGGTGCCTACTATCATGTTCTTCTTTGGATTTCCTATCTTTTCGGTTTCCATCAGAATCAGAATATCCATCAGAACTATATCGGCCACTGTGCCGCCGCTTGCGAGGGCTTCCAGAACTCCGTTCATTTCGTCGCCGCTGCCTGCGAGGACTTCTAGATCTCCGACTGCTGTCACGCCTTCCATGTTTCTGCCTATAACTGACACGCTTATGCCCATCATCCGAATCAGATTCCTCAGAGCTTTGGCGGCCATTTTCTGTGCGCCTGCCGTCTTCTCTCTTCGAAAAGCTAGATGAAGTAATCGGTGATCTCCTCCCCCTACGGTTACGATCAACATCGTCTGCTCGGTGATTTCTGGTCCGTCGATCTTCTTCTGACTCGCTATCGTGGCGGCGAGAGGGAGCCATTAACTTGTCAAGGGCTAGAAAGACGATTCCCTTCCTCAATGGTTTCGGATAGGAGAGGAGGAGAAGAAAGATGGAAGTTTGGGAGGTCTTTATACGCCGCACTCCGATCGTTGCCTTCCCAGCTAGCTCTAATCGCTACTGTACAGCGAGGGTTTCAGTCGCCAAGGCGATAGTTCTGAGAGAAATTGGCAGAGCGGTGAGGAAGGCAGACGAGGGTTACGGGAAGGAGATGGAAAGGGATAGATCGGCCGTGGAAATTAAATTGGGGGATTTTTACATATATACCACACAAAACCCTTTAACAAAAAATAATTTATATATTAAAATTAATTATTAATTGATTTAGCGTATCACTAACCAGTTATTAATTGAATGTTAAACCATTATTTAACAACTAAGTAGTTTAACAAAATTCTTAATAAAAATTAATAGCTTCATAAATACCAAATTAAGTATTAATATACTTAAAAATAGAAGCTTAAATTTAATTTAATTAGGCTTAATAAGTATATTATTAATATATGTTATTTAATTTATATTTTAATTAATAAATTTAAATCATCACTAAATGACCAAGCTATTTGTCAAACACAAATAAGCATATTTACAGGTGGAATTGAACAAGCAAGACATGGTTAGATTTTATTCATTTATATGAAAAATCATATTTACTTATTATAAAAATAAATGAATCTTTAATTAATAAGTTGATAATCATTGTCAAAATGTGGTTATTTGGCTCTAACTAAAAGAGACATATGACGCAGTGGTTGGATATTTCTTCCCGCACTGAAATGTCCCAAACTCGAATGCTCGCCAACCAAACCAAAAATAATAAAAATCAATGAAAATTCCTTAAAAAAGAAACATGGGTGGAGTAAATGGTCAAATTAATTAGATCAAATTTGTGAATTGATGAGTTAAAGATATAATTGTATTATTCCAGAGAGTTGTGCTACTCAAACATGGGGGTGAGTCAGCCAAATATGCGACCTACTTATGCTTTTGTCGGAACCTCTGTACGGTTTCAATCCTAATTTCAAATGTTCCACGTATTAGTTACTCGACCCAAACATAAGCCCCAAATCATAGAAACTACGAGTTTATGAATATTTATAGGGGGTGCCGGGGCACAATTCAAACGTGCAACCTCACCTTGGGAAACTCTATCCTCAACCACTATGTCGCATGTTAATGCGCATGAGTTTATGATCTCACAGATAAGTTTTTTGTAAGTTGAAATCGAGGGTCTCAGCAGAAGCAATTCTTAACTATTGATAAGATCTGCCATCATAATAAATATAATTGTACCAAGGGTCCAAGACAACTATAAACTTCACTAAATTAGCAATTAGTTTATTAGTCCATTTCATACAAATAATACAAATCCTGCAATATATTCTCTCCCCACGGCTCATAAATCACCATTTTCTTCTTCGTGGGCGAAGATTGTAGTATTTTCTGCCTGCGGAGCTCGTAGTCATGATGGAATTCTCACCAACTTCTTCTGGCAAAGCATAGTTAGGATCGGCCTCCATGTCCTCCTCCACATCTTCCTGCAATTCCTCATCGATCCACGAATATCCACTCCAGCTCGTTTCACCCTCATCACAATCAAGATACAAGTACTTGCGCCCTATCACAAAGAAAACTCTGCATAATATTCACAAAGCCTACAAATTTCAATGAAAGATAGGAAAGCTAAGCTCCATGCCTGAGTTCTGCTCCATTATCTGAACTTTTTGGAGTAAAAGTTGCAGCAATTGGTGATTTAACACCTCATAATCTCTGCAAAAATAATGTCAAATTAGAGTTTTTAATTGAAGAATAGCGGAATAGATCCACATAATTCAAATTGCACCAATTTACAAACTCTAACAACAAAGGCTTACAATTCAAAATGGGAAATTGCTTGTACCTGAAAGTAAAGATGGAATGAAGGATAAGAGTGGAGGCAACAACTAGGAATGATGATCTTGCCATCCACACCCTTGACAATAGCCAACTTTGATGAATGGAGTTCAGAAAGCTATATTTAATTATAGCAATTTCAACCACAAATGTGATGCAAAGGCCTGTGAATGAATAGTTTATTAATACAGAGGGGATTTAGTATTGATTAGTTTTCTGAAAAAAAACATGGATTCACCTAAGTAGAGACGAGCCCGGATGCGGGAAGTCTGCTTCGCACTGGTGAGCATATAAAGGAGAAAGATCACACACGAGTAGAAGAAGAATGCTTTAATGAAGCGGGATTCAGTGAGCAGAGCATTATGGAGCATAAAGAGCTTCTCAAGAGCAGTAAAAATACTTGCTTGCTTCGCTTCAAACTCTTCCTGCAATTGTGTATTTCAACTACAATTTAGCATATTATACATAGCTATGATGTGTCTGTATCAAAGATTATAGATCATTAAAAATTGGATTAGTTTTTTTTAACTAAAAGTACTGCAATCAAAGAGCTAAGTCTGTCACAAATTATAGTTGAAGCGAGCCAAATTCGAATCATATTGAATTTACATGAGTTTATGGCAAATATGAGACGATTATATTATCAAGGACAAAAGAATTTTCTTACCATAGTTAAATTCATATTGAGATTTTAATTTTGAAAATCTTACATATATAGCACACAATTCTTTTATATATCAAATACCTAAACTTTCATATTTATATCTAATAACACTTTGGTTTAAAATACATATGCATGAAAATGTGTATTTAGCTTTTTAAAAGTTGATTGTAGATGTAGTAAACCTGGGCAGAAAGAATTGATTGTGAATTTTGGATTAGCCGATCATGAGCCTGTTGAATCTGATCCTGCCTTTTTAGTAGCTCCTCCTGTTGCTTGTGTCCAAAGTCTGCTAATTTTTTGAGATTATCCCTTCATAAATTTTTGATGAATTCAACCATAAATTAGCAAATTTGGTCCTTAAACCATAAAAAAATAATACTACTAAAATGTAAAAACAAGAAGAAAAAAATAAGGATTAATTACCGGCTCTCTTCAAGAGCTTTGGATTGGAAAGATGTGAGGAAATCCAGTCCCGCCATTGCTGCCGCCTGCCCCTCAAGTAGCTTCTTTTGTTTCTCCAATGACAAGCCTGTAACACTACCGATATCATCCGCTGTACTTTGAAGGTTTTGCATGCTGTAAGTCATAGAATCCCCAACTCTTCTTATCTCCCTGTTAATCTCTGAAGTGTCACTCTTCAATTTCGCCATATCATCTCCCAAAATCTTGTGGGAATCCTGAAGCAGAGTCATCCCCGACTCGATCTTCTCTTTCATTTCTTTCTGTCGGTCTCTCAGTTCCATTTGAGAAGCTGAAATATCCTTCGACTGCTCGAATATTGCTTCAGAGTTTTTCAAAACGTCGCGAATTTGAGTCTCCACGCCCTTTGATGAATCTGCTAAATTTCGGGTCTGAAACTCCACCGAAGTCAATGAGTCGTGTATCTTAATGGAATCCCGTAATAATTCTTCTGATCTTTCTTCAATTATATCCAATTTATCCTCCGCTGAATGAGCAGCCTTCACCAGGTCATTGACAAGTCTCTCTGTATTGTGCCGGAACGCATCGTTTCTGAGAGAAAACATATTTAATTCTGTCAAAACAGAGCAATCCAAGAAGAAAAGCAGATAATTTGATCACTAGGAAGAGCAGTAGACTTAACTGTAATTGGTGGCAGATTGAGTTGGTTTCGAGATAAAACTCGAGAAATACTTTGTGCTCTGTTTCATCCAATCTCTTCAGGCAATTCTTCATCGGCCCAGTTGCTTCACAGGACGGGAAGCCGCGCCTCCCAGAATCCACTTGGAAGCAGTCGCTGAGCATCCAAGCCAATCTTTCTTGCTTCTCGTTACTGGACATTATTTCCGAACAACCAGAAAAAAGTTGGTTGTAAGCTCTGTGCCAGCAAGTGTCGGGCGTTGCAAGCTTCCTCTTTGCCTTCTCCAAAAGCTTCATGGCCTTCACGTCATCAGTGCTGCCTATGGAGAAAGTGCTTTTCAATTCTTTATCGGTAAAACCCTCGCCAATTTGCTTGTTCGTGCGAGGAGGGGGAGAAGGAGTAGACGAAAAGGGCCATGAAAAGCTAAGGCTCCAGGTGTAGGAAGACAAACAGAGAAGTAGAAGACCGAATCGGTGTGGCAGCTTCATCGTAATGAAATCAAAACTTGCGAACCTGAGAGGAGGAGAATGCTATCTATAACCTGCAACAATCATACATAAACAGAAATTTCCCAAAACATAAAAAAGCTATATAAAAGGAAGATTATCTCTTCATATATTTTAAGGAACAGCTACGCACATAGACAGTTAGAAAATGTATTGAAACTAGGGAACAAAGGAAACATAGAAAGAATTGAAAGATTGTAAAATCTCTGCACCTTCAGAAAAAAAAAAGGAAAATTTTTTACTTCCTATAATTACACCTCATAATAACACAGCCTGTAGATAACATAACTAGTGATTAGCTAAAATTAACGAACAATTGTTGCCGGAGAGCGTTGACGACTTACCTGAAAAGATGCAGAGAGAGAGAGCCTTCTATGTGAGCAGGAGGCCGGCGGGCGTTAGAGAGATGAATGCAGATAAGCCGTAATTTTACGGACGAATGGCGGCAATTCGAGGCGTTGGGTCTACCGTCGGGACGCAGGAATCATTTCTTCTTGATCACGAAACGGCGGAGGCGTTCGCCATAAGATGGAGACTATTTATAAAAAATCCAGGGAGCAGGACGGCAAAGGAGGCGTTTTGTTAGCCGTCACGTTCTGTGCATTTACCTTCTAACCCATTGGAAGTAGAAAATACTGCGTGTAGACTGCAGTATGAGTCATCATATCCGATAATAATTTCTTCATGCGTCTGTTAAATTTTAATTATTTTAAAACAATAAAATTTATTAATTTTATGTGAATAATAGATTTGAGATGTGTCGCTATTTTATAGTTTTCAAACTCTATTGGTATATATGATGAACTTGATATGAGCAAGAACAAGAAATTGAGTGATGGTGAGAGGAAGATAAAGTGTCTTGAAGGCCATGGTCATGAGAAAAGTTGGTAATGATTAAGTATTAAAGTCGTTATATATATTTTGTGTGAAAGGTTTATATTAAAAATAGTAATAAATTGTATTGTAGGTAAATATAACGATGTCAAGCTGTGCTTTGATAAAAATTTGATCACCATTACTTGAATATTTTTTTCTTACAATATCGTTGTAATAGTCTATCTCTATACTTGGCTTATAATTAACCTATTGAGTTATAGCATTGCAAGGAACATCCAATAAATTTATAATTGTTGCATACAGTTTGTCTGATCATGCCCAAGAGATCGAACGTAAAGACCCAGAGAAAGAGAGAGAGAGAAGAGAAAGACTTGCCTCGAGGTGGGAATGGGTTGTTTCCAAGGCTCGTAGACTCATTTAATTTCTTGCATACTTGAGTTACAAGAGTGGAGAACCAAAAGCCCCTATTACATGAAAGGGTCCTCTTATTTATAGAAGATACGAACAAAGGAAATATTATATCATTGCCCTTGCTAAAGAGAGAGTGCATTATAACTTCTTGTCCTCTACCTTTTATCTAGACCAATAGATTGTCTCAAGATTCGTATATATCATTTTTGATGTACAATAATGTTATTAGAATAATATTTATGGCATCAAAGAAGAGATTCTCATCTCATTGTTGCACAAAATCTTACATAAACATAAATAAGTAGAATGTGACTTGCAGGAGTGAGATTTCTTATATGAAAATTTATGAAGAGAAAATTTGTTGGGTCAAACTAATTTAAACTAATCAATGCAGTTGAAAGTTATACTGTGCTATTATTACCCATCCAAGGCAAAATGATAAAAATTGCCATAATTTGTTGTGAGTGATCATTGCAATGGCATCCAATGGTGAGTATATGCACAAGGCGTTATTAGTATTGGTGTTATTGGTATTTAATGGCGGACATTAGCAACGATCTAATATTAGCACAATGATGATTGACGGCTGGTGGTGATTGATTGCTTAATTCAACAATAAACAACAAAGTGATTGCTGATGACAGGTGATGTTAGGTGTTGATAGTTAGCAATAGAGGTCATCGACATCCGACAACAATCAATGTTAGCAATGAGAAATATTAGGTGGCATTAGTAGATGTTGATGTTTGGAAATGATTGATATCAAGTGCTATCAAATAAAAATTTGAAAATCTTAGAGTTAGGGAATTCTCTCATCTATACCATAAATTAATTATTTCATTTGATCCTTCATATAATCGAGTCAGATCATTTATAAGCGATTCAATTTTATTCTACTTGATATGAATATTACTTTAATAGATCTTTAAAGGACTTTGAAAGTTGAAAATTTTACCTTCTTAGTGATAACTTTCTTCTTCCTTTAACTTTGTAGGTGGTCTCATTCTTTCGGCTTTTCGAAGGTAAAACAAATTTGATCTTTTATGGGGATGTCGCTTGAGGGGGTTGGCATGTTCTCTGTCACAACACCCGAAAAACAACTGATTCAAATAAAATGAGTTGTCAAGTGAATAAGGGATGGAAAAGAGTCCTGTCATGCCTTATCTATAATAATCAAATTTGCGGAGATCAAGTGAGTTTAAATATTGAATCATTGATTTGTAATAATGTGGTCAACTTTTTTTGTTAAACACTTTTATTTTGTCTGACAGTATTGCTTCCAAGTAGTAAGAGAATCAATAAATTAAGATACATACTTAAAAAAGGTGTCAGTACTAATTCTAAGGAAACCTAACGGTCCAAAAGAGAAGTACGACGAAAGAGAGCCCACATATAGAAAATTATGAGGCCAATTTGTCCAATCGAGTGAAGCTATTTGTGCCAAACTAGCAAGGGCCAAACCGATCGAGCAGCAAAAAAAATAAAAATACAACAGAATGATCCAAACCCGAAACATTCAGATAAAAATAAGACAAAAAAACATCTGAACCAAACATTACCAGAAAATTGATCAAAGGGAAGACCTGTTTCCCAAGTATCTTCAAACATCCCATACACACCTAGAGGGTCCTCATAATGTGTCAAGGATCGACAGTTAGGCCATATCAACCGGGTGAATCATATTGACCAAGTTGATCTCATCCGCTCGAGCAGATCTCATCCGACCCAGTTGATTATGCTGACTCTAAGTAGGCTAATGATGGCTGACCAAAAAGAAAGTAGTAGGGCAACATACTTGCAAATGTGATATACCAAAAATACCCCAGTACATACTCCTATAAAATAGAGAAAAAAATGTAACAACGCCACATTATATCATGCCCTCTATTTATCATTTTGTGAATAAACATGTGGATCATTATTCGTGATTATTCACTTCTCTCTCTCTGTCTCTCTCTCCCTTGTGATTCATGGATAAATCATGATTTAACAAGACTGCTCCTTATTAGGAGTAATAAATAAATAGAATGTAATCCAAATTGACTTGGAGAAGGGTGTTACTTGTCTACTCATCATTATTTTATGAAATATGTTTTAATGCAAATTCTTTAAGCAGCGTGCCATTATTCAAAAAATAAATCAAATGCAATTAAGAAATCAATTGCAAAATTAGGATTTCAAATGAAAAAAAATGAAAATCTTTGCATAATGTTGAATCCTCTTTGAGA